ACAAAACAAATACAGACTCAGGAGTCCAACGGCTTGTCTTGGAATCCCAGCATCATCTCTCTCTTTTTAAAAAAAAAATATATATATTTTACTGATTTTTTACAGAGAGGAAGGAAAGAGATAGAGAATTAGCAACATCGATGAGAGAGAAACATCGATCAGCTGCCTCTTGCACACCTCCCATTGTGCCCGCAAACTAAGGTACATGCCCTTGACCGGAATCGAACCCGGGACCTTTTAGTCTGCAGGCCGACGCTCTATCCACTGAGCCAAACCGGTTTTGGCCCAGTATAATCTCTTAATGGCTATGTCACTTTTGCTGAGTGACTCAACCTCTGTGCCTCCATCTATAAAATGGGAATGACAATAATAGTACCTACCTCATAGATCATTGTGAAGATAGAGTTAATATGTGTAAAGTCCTAGTAAGTGTACTATAAATGTCTACTCTTGTCACAACCCCCAATGCACATCCTAAGTCTGAGCTGCTATTATATAGCCCTTTAAATGCTACTATAAGAGGTAACAGTATAGGTAAAAGAATGGAGATTTGGTATGAATAGGTTTTGATCACTCATTTGCAGTGGATGCAGGGAAACTTGATTAACAACTCGGAATCTCAATTTATGTGGTCATAAAATGGGGATAATGCTTCCCACCTTGATGGGTTATTGCAAAGATCACATAGAAAAAACATATAAAGTAACCAGCATCCTGCTCTTTATATAAAAGGGGGCAAACCAGAAACAAACTATTACTTCTTCTAGGACCTACCCTTATGCTGGAGGCATGTGAGTCAGAAAAAAATGGAAGGCATAGTTCCTGCACTTAAGCACCTCATAATCTTTATTTTTAGTATTGATTTAGAGAGAGAAACATCACTTCTCTGTACCACCTATTTATGCATTCATTGGTTGATTCTTGTACTGGTATGTACTCTGGCTGGGGATAAAACCAGTAACCTTAGCCTATTGGAATGATGCTCTAACCAACTGAGCTACCTGGCCAGGAGGCATCTCATAATCTTTTTAGTAACAAGATAAATAATTCATGAAAAAATCAGAAAAGTCCTAAGATACTTCAATAAGGATTGGATTAGTTGCAGTCAAATGTAAGTAAAACCAGTGCAGTTTATGGCCAGGCTCTGGGCCTCTGTATTTGCTGCTCCTCCTCCTTCTCTTCTTCTGATTTCAGCTTAGCTATCAATTCACCACCTCAGGGTCAGAGGCCTCTGACCTTTCCCTTCCCCTTTCCCTAAGTCCTTTTGTGTTCCCATAGTGCCCTATTTGTCATATCACGGCCCCGTCTTTGATTGCTGCTGGTCTGTCTGCCCCAGCACATTGGGCGCTCTGCAAGATCCGATGCTACGTTCTATTCTCCTACATAATGCCTTGCATACCATAAGCCCCCAGGAGTTGTTCATTGAAGAAATGAACAAGTGAACAATGAATAGATGTAAAAGCCTTCCAAGTCGAGACAAGAGGCACTCTGGGCATCCATAGCCTCCCTTTATAAAATGAGACAAAGTTAGGCAATGGTTTCCGAACTCCAGCTGACCCAATAGCCAAAATCATAAAAGGAACTGAATGAAAAATTAACAATTCTGTTTCACCAAGTCTGAAGTGGTGCCCCCAAATAGGTCAGTTTTAAAAAGTTTCCCATATGCAGCCCAGTTTGTGACCCATACATAAGGGTATTGAACCATACTTAGGAGATCAAACTGAAATTGAGGTAGGATGGTAAGATGATGTGGACAGGGGAGGAAGGGAAAAAGGGTGGGGAGACTATATTTTGGGAATGAGGGGAGGGAGCAGCATGTCTGATACTTGATACAATCCCATAGCCCACTAGTATCTGGGGTCTTGTCCTACTTTGGGCCCATTAACCCTTTAGGGAGACAAAGCACTTTATAGTTTACCTTTTATCCTTCATCCTCACAACAACCAAGGTTCATTTGACGGATAAAGAATTAAGGAACAGATTGCTTAAGTGTCCACCATTGTACAGCTGTAAGTGGGTGGGCCACTTAACAAAACTCCTCAGACAACAGCCTCTGATGTGAATTGAGGCTGATGCCATTGATCCAAGGAACTAGGCTTATGCACCCAGGCTCATCTAGCACTTAGAAACAGATACAGTGCCCTGATGGAGGATTGTTGACCAGTGGCTAAATCACCCTGTCTCCTTACTTGTCCTGTTCTGTGTACTTATAAGTAATGCTATCCCAGCCCAGCCTAATTCATCTCATCCATCTATCCATCTTTTCATCTACTTACCCATCCATCACCTCATCTATCCATCCACCCATCTATCAGTTACTTATTCATCCACTTCTCATATCCACACATTATATCCATTCATCCGTCCCATCCATTCATCCATCCATCATCTTCACCAGACACCCATCCACACATAACATCTATTCATTAATCCATCTACCCATCTACCCATCTATCTTCCCAGTTATTCATTAATCCATTGGTCCCATCCATCCATCCATCCATCCATCCATCCATCCATCCATCCAGCAATCTATTCTTCCATTCCATTTCATTCTGTTCAATTCTATCCATCTACCAACACATCATAGCCATTTATCAAACCATCTACCTATCTGCCCATCCATATATTCATTCATTCATTCATTCATCTATCCATCCATCCATCTTCCCATTAATTCACTAATTCATTCATTGAGTAATATAGACTCCATCAAAATCTACATGGGACCAGAACCTGTGGCTGCCAGGAGTATAACAAGAAGAGATAGACAAATACAGACCTTTCCCTTGAGGAGATTTGAAATGCTTACAAAAATGACAAACTTCCAAAGGATCAAAATATATACTCAAGGGAAGCTTATTGAAAGGAAAACAAATGTAGGATATAACAAAGCCAGGAGTCAGGTTGGCACACAGATGCACAGCATAGCATCCTATCTTTACATGGCTAAGATTGGCCCTGAACTTGACTCTGGGCTGTATCCTGGCACCCAAAGCAAATACTACAATCTAAGTCACAGTATGCTTAATCATGGCAGACACTACCCAGCAGCTATTCCTGCTTCCTGACAACACGGTGGTGCTATATGTATCCAGGACACATTTGGAAATGTCTGGAGACATTTTTGTTTGGCACAACTGATGGGGAGGTATGCAGCAAGCACCTAGTAAGTTGAAACAGAGATGTTGCTAGACAACTATTATGAGAATAAATAAAGTAACAGACACAGAACATTCATCCAACCATCCAATCATCCAACCAATGTTTGTTGAATACTTATTATGTCATTAGCACTACATGGAGGCTAGGATGAAGGGACGGGAGTGGACATCCTACAAAGTGGATAGACCTCAGATATGGTGAGAGGCTGTGGGTATATTATCATTATTACATTATCCTTTGGGAGGAACTCTACGGGCCTTCTGTTCACCCCTAGCCTGGGCTTGTAGCCTGGAGCTCTCCTTCAGAATCTGACCTTCCACAACGAGTCTTCCACCCGCCACAGGGTTAACTAAGACTGCTATTGTGTTTTAAATTAGTATGAAGCACCTAAGGCAAACCTAGCCCCTATCTATGCAATATTCTCTAATCTCACCACCTTTTGTGAGATAGGTCCTGTTGTTCTTCACTTTACAGATGAGGAAATAGATTCAGAGAGGGGAAGTGACTAGCCTGAGGTGGGGATAGATCCCCAGGCTCTTTTTGATTCTTCAGCTTCTGCTATTGCCATTGCATCACAGGCTTCTGCTTGATGGTGGATCATAGATCTCCTGGACCAGTCAGGAGATCAGTTCCTGCTTCCTTGAGGCCATCTGTCCTCCGCTAATGACAACATTAAATACTATTTATTAAGTCCTTACCATGTGTGTGGTGCCAAGGTCTTACAACCTTTCTTTCTTTTAGTTATCCTAAGTTAGTTCATCTCAACTTTGGAGACAAGGTGACCAAGGCACAGAAATGTTGAATAATTCACCTAAAGTCACAGCTACAACTGAGAGCTACAGGGTTCTGTGCATATGTGTGATTTAAATTGGTTTATAAAAGGCAACTAATTTTTAAAAAATCCAAAATGTAAAAAAAGAGTAAAACAAAGAGACATTCTCTTGAACTTCCCTCACGAGAACTGTTACCAGTCTCTGTGCACTTCCACTAATTTTCTATGCAAATATAAATGCCTGTACATATATATGCGCATATCATTTTGTTACCAGAAATGTAACATGCTACACAATTCTTCAGCTTATTTTTTTAACTTAATGCAACTTGGAGGTCCTTTCCTATCTGCACACAGACCTGCTTTTATTTTCCAACAATGGGAGAGCATTCCATTTTTTAAAGATGCATCATGCTTCATTTACCCAGCCTCTACTGTCCAACATTTGGGTTATTTCCAATTTTGAAGTCCCCCCACCCCCCAGGAAAGCCCAAATTCTTCACCATCAGTAACACATCTCCCTAACCTAAGTTGCACACCAACATGAAATCCTTCTCATTTTCCCACACCCCACACTATGCATTGCTTTATACCACTAACCCTTGCTGAATTATCCAGAACTAATGGCTCTCATTAGGGGGGCTGGCCACCTTCCCACTTGGGCCCCATCCCACCTAGACTATGACCCAGCTCAACAACCAAGCCCAGTAAGTCCTCCAGCCCCATCCCCTATGAAATTTTGGAAGAACCCCTGGTATGCATCCCCAGAAAAACAGTTTCTCTGGACGGAAATGAGCCAAGACACTGTGCTAGGGCTCCTGCAGGCTCTCCTAGCACTTCCCGTACCAAATATGCCATGCCCCTGTTTGGAAGCTTAGTGAAACAAATCACATGCTCCCCCCAACCGCCACCGCGCCCCGGGGTTCCAGCCCTTCTAAAGGAGACCTGGAGGGTCTTAGGTCCCCTCAGAAACACATAGGGGGGCATCCCATGGTTTCCCAAACTTAACCATGATCCAGCCGGATTCAATCCTCCCCCAGTTCCAACCGCTGTCCCCACTCACCATAAGGACTCTCCACTGGAGCCCCAAGGGGCGTGTTCACACTGACCATGGCCGAGCCCACCCAGCCGGAGACCTGGGGGCATGGAGGAGCTGGGGCCCCACACACAGCAGCAGTGAGAGCCAGTCCACCAGGAAGGCAGGAGTGCAGCCAGCTGCTACCGCCCTGTTATCTTATTGATTCTTCTAATCACCCAATGTGGGTGGATATGTTAAAGAGTAACCAGTCACTTAGGGAACCTGTGGCTGGGGACTGTCACTGTTGCCATGGCAATAACAACCTGGCGAGATCCGGGGTCCACTTGGGCCCCCGTCCTGTACTCTGGGATTGGGGACACCTGATGCCAGAAGTAGGGGATACCAGCTCCCCCACCCCCAACTTGAGAGAAAGGACTGGCCAGGAGGGAATGGAGAGGTGAGAGTCCAACCTGGGTTGGGTTTTATGACTCCACAGAATGGGTGTGGCAGGAGGTGGGAGGGAGGAGTAGAGGAGAAAAAGGGGGTGAAGAACTGTATTGGGTTATTAAGCGCCCATTGGATGCTAAGAGATACATATAGGCATTGCCACATTTAAAATATGTTTTATTTTTTTTATTAATTTTAGAGAGAGGAAGGGAGAAGGAGAGATGGATATAAACATAAATGATGAGAGAGAATAATTGATTAGCTGCCTCCTGCACGCCCCCTACTAGGGATTGACCCTGGGCATGTGCTTTAACTGGGAATCGAACCCAGACCTGGTTCATGGGTCAGTGCTCAACCACTGAGTCCCATTGGCCAGGCTACATTGCCACATTTAAAATACACCTTGATGAAAGAAGTTGCTGCTTGAAGTCTCACAGTTGGTACAACACAAATGGTTGGAATTACAACTCCTCTTCATCTAACATATATTTATCGAGCACCTAGCTGTACACTAAGCTCTGTGTTAGTTTCCCGTGGTATAGAAATGAGCAAAGGGTTGCATCATCCCTGCAACCATGGGACTGTGGGCTAATGAAGAAAATGGGCATTAGTCAGATAATATTAAAAATATTATTGCAAACCGATGCATGCTTTCAGGGATGGAGACACACAGGTCTGATTCCAAGCCCACGGACCAAAGACATTCTGCCCACTCCCTCCGTTGGTCTCCTTCCCCATTTAAAAGGCAGCCTGCTGCCAGCACCAGTTTGGCTCAGTGGAAAGAGCATCGGCCTGCGGACTGAAAGGTCCCAGGTTTGATTCCGGTAAAGGGCATGTATCTTGGTTGCGGGCACATCCAAGATAGTAGGGGGTGTGAAAGAGGCAGCTGGTCGATGATTCTCTCTTATCGATGTTTCTAACTCTCTATCCCTCTCTCTTCCTCTCTATGAAAAAGCAATAAAATATATTTAAAATAATAATAATAATAATAATAATAATAATAATAATAATAAAGAAATAAAAGGCAGCCTGCTGTCCTAACTGGTTTGGCTCAGTGGATAGAGTGTTGGACTGCGGAGTGAAGGGTTCCAGGTTCAATTTTGGTCAATAGCATGTACCCGGTTGCGGGCACATCCCAGGAGGGGTGTGCAGGAGGCAGCTGGTCGATGTTTCTAACTCTCTATCCCTCTCTCTTCCTCTCTGTAAAAAATCAAAAAAATATATATTTAAAATAAAAAAATAGAAGTTAGCCTGCTGCTGAATGCAGAGCCATCCTGTGTTTTAGCTTGCTTGCATACTAGACACCTGCTACCTGGCTTTTGGGGAATAGTTCCATTTCTATTATCCCAATGTTGAGTCTTGTACCCTGATTTGGGATTCAGGTCTTCTTATGTTAGAGAGAGGTCCAAAGAGAGGTAGTAAACCTTTGGACTCAAATGAATCAGAACACCCAGCCCTACCATTGTCTTGCTGTATGGTTTTTGGTAAATGATGTCATTCCCCTATAGAAATACCTACCTTAGGCACTGCTCCACTTCTAAGCTAGCTAATTGATATATTCCTCTCTGTTCACACTCTCTTTTTTCCAGTGTGCTTGCTTAGTCACCTCAAAGAAACCTCTGGTCCCCTCAACACTGGGCCTATAGCCAGTTCTTTATTCCTTCTATTTATCCCTACCTGTTTCACCTTCCTGCCTTCTTTCCCTTTTGCCCACTTTAAAGCCACAGTTTCTGCCCTGGCCAGTGTAGCTGAGTTGGTTGAGCATCTTCCTGTGCACCAAAAGGTCGCTGGTTCGATTCCTAATCTAGGCACATACCCAGATTGTGGGTTCGATCCCTGTTTGGGATACATGATTGGGGTATATGCAGGAGGCAACCAATCAATGTTTTTCTCTCTCCCTCCTTCTCCCTTCCTCTCTCAAACCAATAAAAATATATTAAAAATAGTAAAAAATAAACCCTGTTTCTATCTTGCTTCTCTCTGATCCTTTCCAACCACCTGACAAAAACCCAAGCCTGAATGAACCTAAGTGCCTTGCTTTTATCATGCCTGCATACCAGAAGCCAGTAAATGCTAAAGAAAAACACACTCAAAGGACAGATGGGAGCCACCATAGTTTTACCATTCCCAAATTCCACATGGTACAGAGCTTCTGCTGTCTCTTCTCCTTAATCTTCTATTCTCTAACTCTGTATCAAATCTTTCCTCTCCTCAAACCTTTTCCATTCTTATCTTTAGCAGGATGAGACTTTACTTCCTCACATAGAAAAAGGAAGCCTGAAACCTGGACCTGCCTCAAATCCCCACAAAAATTCACTTACATTTGCACTTTGCTCATCTCCTTTTTCCAGATCCTCATGGGTTTGCACCTTACCCTTTCCACTGCTCAGGTGTCCCATGTGACTATGTGTGATTCCTCCTATATATTCAACCACTCCCTCTTCAGACTTTTAAAATCAACTTTATTGAGGTATAATTTCGTATAGTAAAAATGTATCCTTTGTAAGTGCACAGTGTTATAAACTTTGGGAAATGTATACTCCCTTTATTCCTCTGCAATCAATCCCCCAGGCACCTCCCACTCCAAGCAACTATTGATCTGCCTGCTGTCACTCTAGATTAGATTAGTATTTTCTAAAATGTCATAGAAATAGAATCAGAAATTTACTCTTTTATGTCTGGCATGTTTGTGAGATTCATTCATCTATGCTCATGTCCTTTTTTCTTGCTAAGTAGTATTCCATTGAATGGATATAGCACAACTTGTTCACCCATTCACCTGTTAATAGACATTGAGGTTGTCTACCGTTTAGACTATTATGAATTAAGCATCTATGTATATTCACAAACAAGTCTTTGCGTAGACGTATGTTTCATTTCTCTTGGTTAAATTTCTTTGGAGGAATTGCTGGTTGATATGGTGTGTTTATGTTTAACTTATAAGATATTTTCAAACCTTTGTCCAAAGTGGCTGTACTATCTTGCATTCCTGCCAGCAGAGCAAGAGAGCTCCATATCCTAATCACCATTTCTTGTTGTCAGTTTTTTAACTTTAACCATGTGTTGTGATCTTTCCTTGTGATTTTGTTTTTTTAAAACTAGTTTTAAACTAAGAAAGTAATAAATTCACATGTTAACAAAACTGTACAAACAGCAAATAATGAAAAATAAACCTTTTTCGTACCTTAGTTTTCACATCTCACTCTATTAAATGTTTAAACAAATTCTTGTATATATTTCCAGAGATAATACAAATATACTGCTGGGGACTGAATTGTGTCATCCCAAAGTTCATATGTTAAAACCCTAACGCCCAATCTGTATTTGAAACTAGGACCTTTTGGGAAGTAATTAAGTTTAAATGAGCCTAGCCAGCATGGCTCAGTGATTGAGCATTGATCTATGAACCAGAAGGTCACAGTTTGATTCCCCATCAGGACACATGCCCGGATATGGATATGGGCTCTATCCCCAGTGAGGAGCACGCAAGAGGCAGCCAATCAATGATTCTCTCTCATCATTGAAGTTTCTATTTCTCTCTCCTTTTTCCTTCTACTCTAATTTCAATAATAATAATAATAATGATAATAATAATAATAATAAAAGGTTAAATGCAGTCATAAGGGTGGAGTTCTGATCCCATAGTATTAGTGTCCTTATAAGAAGAGATTTGAGAGCGCTCGCGCGCTCTCTCTCTCTCTCTCTCTCTCTCTCTCTGCCTTATGGGACACAGTGAGAAGGCACTTGTCTGCAAACCAAAAAAAAAGAGTTCTCCAACTATACTGGCACCCTGAGCTCAAATTTCTAGCCTCCAGAACCATGAAAAAATAATTACCATTGGTTAAACTATCCAACGGTATTTTGTTATGGCAGCTTGAGCTAAAACACACACATAAATGTAAATGCATATAAATACATGGGAACATATTAGACACACTGTTCTGCCTCTCTCCACCTTTAGAATCAAAGGGATGTCTCCATACCAGCACACCTACCTCATTCTGTTGAGTAGCTGTGTAGTATTTTATTGTGTGAACATTCTGTAAGTGATTTTGCCTGTGTCCTGTTGCTGAATATTTAGGTTGTTTCCAGGCTTTTGCCACTACAAACAGCAACTGTCTTCATACCTGTGTCTTGACTCACATGATGGGGAGTATATCTATAGGACAAATGTTTAGAAGCAGAATACTATCAATATTTATGCGATTATATATCTTTTATTAAAAAGAAAACTCTCTCACACTACCTAATTTGGCTCAGTGGATAGAGTGTTGGTCTGCAGACTAAAGGGTCTGGGTTTGATTCTGGTCAAGGGCACATACCCGGGTTGTGGACTCGATCCTCAATAGGGGGTGTGCATGAGGCAGCCAATCAATGATTCTCTCTCATCATTGATGCTTCTATCATTCCCTCTCCCTTCCTCTCTGAAATCAATAAAAATATGTTTTAAAAATTCCCTCAATAACTCCTTTTCTTAGCTCAGCTACTACATCTGCTCTCTCCTTCCTTTGCTGCTAAACTTTTAAAATAACAGTCTATATTATAGCATTGCCTCCCACTCCCCTCCACACACACCACTCAGTCTTCACTGGCAAGTTAGAATGACACCCATGTCTGAATATTCAATGGATACTTTACTAGACCCCCAGCAGGATTTGACAGTTAATTCCTCCTTCTTTTTAATAACATCTCTTATCATCCATTCTACAATAGTCTTTTGTTTGTTTTCCGTCTTTATCTCTTGACAGGTCATGCTTCTCTACCTGTCCTTAAATACTGGAATTACTCAGGTTTTAGTTCTAGATTTACTGTTGTTTTTTTCTCCATACTCTATTATCTCTCTTCCCATAATCTCATTCATTCCTATGACTTTATGGCCACCCATATACCTTATACTCATGCCTCCCAATTGTGTATCTTCAACCCAAATTTCTCCTCTGGCATACAAATTCTTACTAATACCTCCTAGATACTGCTACTTATATATTTCACAGACATCTACACTAATAAAAGGGAAATATGCAAATTGACCATACCTTTGTGACACTCACTAGCCAATCAGGAGTGAGTATGTAAATTAACCCAACAAAAATTGTGGATTATTTTGCATTTGCAGGCACCAAGCAGCTGGGGGTGGGATGCTTGTGTTGTTGCCATGGTGACAACAAAGGCATTCTGCACCGCCCCAGCTGCTTCGGGCCTCGAAGCAGCCTGGGAAGGCAGAAAGGTGGCTAGATAGATACAGGGGAAGGAAGGCCCATTCTTGCATGAATCTTCATGCATCCAGCTTCTAGTCTCAAATATAATATGCCCCTAATTGCACTCTTGCTCTTTGCTGCCATCAAAATTCCTCCCCCTATATTTTTCATCTTGATAAAATTGTGTGCTCATCTACTCTCATTCCTTTATACCCAACCATTACAAAGTCCCCTTGAATTCCAAGTCTTAAACATCTCAAAAACATATCCACTTCTCTTTGTTTCCAATGTCATTACCTTGGTTCAAGTGATCTTCATTTCTCATCTGGATTACCAAAATGCCCCTACCTCCCACCTCAACTCCCACTCTTACACTCTTCAAATCTTTGCCCCATTAATATATCCAGAATTATCTTTTCAAATGCAAATCTGACATGTCGTTCCACTGCTAGGATCTTGCTATGCCTCCCCATTTTCCTCAAGTGAAGTCCCAAGATTGTTCATGATTTGGCCCCTGCCTCCCTCACCAGGATCATCTCACTCCCTTTCCCCCAAGACTCAGCAGGTCTTCTTCTTTGTTGTCTTCTTCTTCGTCATCATCTTCTTCTTCTTTTTAATATATTTTATTGATTATTTTACAGAGAGGAAGGGAGAGGGATAGAAAGTCAGAAACATCGATGAGAGAGAAGCATCGATCAGCTGTCTCTGCACACCCCAAACTGGGGGTGTACCTGCAACCAAGGTACATGCCCTTGACTGGAATCGAACCCGGGGCCTTTCAGTCTGCAGGCCGATTCTCTATCCACTGAGCCAAACTGGTTTCGGCCCAGCAGGTTTTCTTTTTTTTTTTTTTTTTTTCTTCTTTTTTTTTCTTTTTTAAATATATTTTATTGATTTTGTACAGAGAGGAAGGGAGAGAGATACAGAGTTAGAAACATCGATGAGAAAGAGTCATCAATCAGCTGCCTCTTGCACACCCCCTACTGGGGATATGCCCGCAACCAAGGTATATGCCCTTGACCAGAATCGAACCCGGGACCCTTCAGTCCCCAAGCCGACGCTCTATCCATTGAGCCAAACCGGTCCCGGCCAGCAGGTTTTCTTTAATCCCTGATATTGTCATGTGCTCTCTCCCCCAGCTTTCCACCCACATTGTCATCATTGCCTCAGAGCCTGACCAGCTTCTCTTCTTCACAAAAAAAACATCCTTCTGCAGGAAGACTCCCATGACTACCCATTCTATATAGTTTAGAACACACTCTTTCAATTCCCCATTCTTCTTCAGGTAGCATTGCCTGCCATTATAATAGTACTAGAGGCCCAATGCACTAAATTCACGCAAGGGGCTCAGCCCTCGAAGCCCCAACTTTGTTTATAAGGTCATCCTGACAGTCGTTCTGCTGTTTGGTCTAATTAGCTTTTTATTATATAGGATATTTGTATTCATCTTCTGTTTAATGCCTTACTGTCCTTCTAGAATTTTAAGCTCCAGGAATATAGAACACTACAGATCTCAGGGGGTGACAATGTTTCTGTAAAGGGCTAATTAGCAAATATTTTAGGCTTTGTGAGACATGCAGTCTTTTGCAACTACTCATGTTTGCTGTGGAAATCTGAAAGCTGCTATAAAACATATATAAACAAATGAGCATGGCTGTGTTCCAATAAAACTTTATTGAGAAAAACAGGCAGAGAGCTGGGTTTGGGTGATGGGCCATATTTTTCCCAGCCCTGATCTATATCAATGGCCACTGTTCTCAGAGCTGATAGTTTTATAGCACTTATTTTGAGTAAGGCACTGTTTTTAGTGGTTTCCATGTATATAGTACATCCACTTAATGGTTTGGATGATCTTATGAGGCAGATTCTATTCGTGTCCTCATTTTCAGATGAGACTGAGAGTTCACAGTAACTTACCCAAGCACACCCAACCATTAAGTTAAACTTGTACCTAGGCAGTCTGGCTCCGGAGCCTATGCTCTTAACCTTCTTGGTTGGTGAATGGATGAACAAAAGAGTAATCAAATGAGCCTGGGGTGTGGAAATCTTAGAAAGTATAATACACTGCAGAGGTTTGCAAGTTGGACCAGAGCTTAACAAGCCAGAATACTGAGGTCAAGGGAGTAACAAGAGCAGATGAATCACATGTCTGCTCTTTACTAGCTATGTGACCTCATATATACTATTGATTCAGGTTGCCACTTACATTTCCAGAACATTTGGGAAACTGACCTTTTTCTCCTCCCAATATAAGGACACTAATAATTTTATTAAAAACTTAACATTTATTGTCACAATTATATTATAAATGAAGGAACATTTTAATACCCCTACCCCAAATAAAGTAGTAACATTATAATCTAAGAATAATGAACTTACAACAGTGCTCTTGTTTCTCTTATTTCACTCATTTCCAGCATTTGGAAAGGGGCACTCAGTCTAAGCCTCATTTTTTCTATCTGAAAAATGGAGTAATGCTATACAAACATTGCACACATGCACTGATCTAGCTGATGTGCTTGGAGTAAAGTAAGGGCTGAGTGGTTGTTAGCCCCCTTCCCTAGTCTTTCTCCTAAGCTGACTTTCTCCTCACTCAAATCCTTTCTCTCCTCTTTGACTCTTCTGGGAGCTGAGAAAAAGAGGGACCAAAAAGAGCCAGGGGAACTAATCTCAAAGGACTTTATTGGGGATGGAGGGGTGACATGCACAGGTTGTGGCCGGGGTGGGAATGGCAGAACATTCACTCCTGGGAAAATGCAAGGACCCTAGGAAAAGGAGCCGGTTTCCATCCTGGTCTTTGAAACTCTCTCCAGCCAGCTGGGTGTGGGCCCCACCTGGAGGGCAAAAGGTCTGAGAAGAAATTTTACTATCTCTGAAGACAAAAGAACTTTTGTGTTAGTGGTATCTGGGTGGGGAAAGGTCGGGAAAGGGGAAGTGGTTAATGGGAATGAGAAAGATTCTACCGGAGAAATACAGAGTAAGACAGATAGGGACAGAGCTGGCTAGGAGATGAAAGGGAGAGACTAAAGCAGAGAGACTGAAGGGAGAAGGGTAGGATAGATCCAGAGAGAGTTCCTCTGGCTAACTTTGGAGGGCCGGAGTCTGAGCTCCAAGCTGAGTGCTTTGGCAGACAAGCTGTGCAGCTCTAAGTCACACTTCTTCACTGAGCCTCAATGTACCCATGTGTGAAAGTGGGGGGCTGACCCTGCGGTGGCTCTAGTAATATGAAATAGGAGTGGGGTGTTCACAAGCTAATTTCAATTATTATTTTTTTGACGTTCAGATCTAAAATGTTCCCAACTGAAGGAGGGGATCACAGGTCTTCAAAGGCTGCCCAGAAGCTAGTTGGCTATTAACTGATTGATAAAGGTGGTTTCGGGATTAAGGTTATTTAATAGATACCTTTTATTGGATGGCCAAAGACTTGTGAGTTTGAGGCCTGAGAGTCACAAAACTGCTGCCACTGTTCCTTCCAACCCAGGCTCTCTGAGAAGTGAGTCAATTGAAAACACAGGCCTCCTTCCTGGAGGCCAGACAAAAGAAAAATGCAACTGACTAAAGAAGGAAGGCAAGGCAGTCATTTTCTTCTGGCTCATGCTAGACATTTAGAAAATGGAATCAGGAAGAAAAATTCAGATCAGTGGAGAGAGTCCAATTCATGTATTAAAAAAAAAAATTTTTTTTTCCTTGACCCATCTAAGGGAGGGACCCTTAGAGGGTCAAGCCCACTGAAGGCCCACCAGAGCACAGGGAAAATTTAGAACCACAGGAGCCGGTTGGATTTGAGCCCAGAGAAGCACATGTTGCTACTGCAGCTGCCTTGGTAACTGGGGGGGCAGGCAGAACATGGCCTCCCCATCTTGTATGGAGCCTCGCCGATCCAGTTGCCCCTGGAAGAGAAAAGGTTCCAGGGAGATGGGGTCAAGAGACACAAGAGAGCTCTGTGAGCAACCTTCACACAGGTTTCCAAATCTCGGCACCACTACTGGCTGGCGGTGCGACCTTGGGCAAGTCACATATGCAAGCCTCACTTTCTTCATCTGTACAACCAAGAGAAGACTTCCTGCTGTCTGGCACAGGGATGCTGTGAAGATGAAATAATGCAGCCACCTGTGCATGAACCTAGCACCATGCCTGGTAAATAGGTGACTCCTCAGTAAGTGTTGGTTTTCTTATTCTTTCCACCACCCCTTACCCCAACTTAAGCAGATCTAAGGTTCTGGGCCTGATAGGGCAAATGCCTGGGTTGCAGGCTCAATCCCCAGTAGGGGGGCAGGGGAGGCAGCCAATCAATGATTCTTTCTCATCCTTGAGGTTTCTCTCTCTCTCCCTTTCCCTTCTCTCACTGAAATCAATAAAAACATTAAAAAAAAAAAAAGTTCTGTGCAAAGGAGGGCTCAAATAATGGGATGATGAGTGTAATTCAGTCATGGGGGATGTGCCCATGAAGCCTCCTCATGGCCACTGCTGGACATTTATTTCTTCCATGGCCTTATCCCAAATCTGTCCTACCTGCTCCTGAGTTAATCCTTTCAACTGACCATGGCCTTTAGGAGGAAGGGGAATAAGGAACCATTGTTTAATGATTACAGACTTTCTCTTTGGGGTGAATAAAGTTTTGGAAATAGTGATTGTACAACATTGGGGATGTAATTAATGCTACTGAACTGTACACTTAAAAATGGTTAAAATAGGTTAAAAAGTGTCATTATATATATTACCACAGTAATAATAAATTAATAATGTAATCCCCTGGCCAGTGTGGCTCAGTTTGGTTGACTGTCAGCCATGCACCAAAAGGTTTGATTCTAAGTTAGAACACATGCCCAGGTTTCCAGTTTGATATCCCAGAGTGCGTATAGAAAACAACTGATTTGATGTTTCTCTCTCCCTCTCCCTTCCTCTCTAACATCAATAAAAAATAATTAAAATTTAAATTTAAAAATATTTTTAAAAAATTAATGTAATAAGCCAGTAGGAGGCATGCAGGAGGCAGCTGATAGGTGTTTCTCTCTCACATATATTCTCTCTCTCTCTCTCTCTCTCTCTCTCTCTCTCTCTCTCTCTCAAAATCAATAAAAATATATTTTTAAAAATAGGCATCAGGCCAGATTTTGGTCATAGCCCCATAGTTGGCCAACTCCTGGCATACAGAATCACATTACCTGTTTTGGTCAGGCATTCTAGACTGTTCTAGCAGCACGTGGTCCAGCCTATACACCTCATCTTCCCATAACTCCCTTCTCCATCCCAGCCCATGGATTTCTCTTTTTCTCTCTCTTTCTCCTCTCAAAGCCTAAAATCATTTCCTCAGCTCTTTCTAGCTTGTGGCTGACTAATAAGGTCACTATTGATCTATAGTGTTAATTTTGAAAATCCCAGTGCCTTATTTTCTTACACTTCATATGAACACTCTGGGCAGAAATAAAATATTTTTTTCTCCAGAAGTGATTATTGACTGACTATGAGTAAAGTCAGCCAAAGTGCTTAGAAAAGTATGCACTTCTGGTTTCATATGCAACTTTCATTCATTCATTCATTCATTCATTCATTCATTTGTTCACTCACTCACACTTCCAGACATCTATTGGGCATCAGGATTTGTGCCAGATGCTGTAGTATACAATTTTCAAAAAGTCTCTTGGAAATTTAGGAGCAGGGAGAGTGGGCGATGGAGACACCAAGGATGATGGAATCAGAATAGTTTTTTTTTGTTTTGTTTTGTTTTGTTTTTTAATTTAACCACTTGGGAAAAAAGTCCTACTGCTTAAAACACACACACACACACACACACACACACTCACACACACACACGGTTGACATCACTGTTGTGGAAGGATATTGAAATGAGTAAGATCTATTTCCTACCCTTAAAGAGTTTATAACCTAGTCATATCATGAACATTATTCATTTACAATGTACTATGATTCTCTGAGAGTCAGATACTATTTTCTCTATTTTAAAAAAAGAGACCGAAGAGATCAAATGCCTTAGCTAAAGTCCTCACTGTGTACATGGTAGAGCTGGGAATCAAACACAGGTCTGGTAATGACAATAAGACCCAACACGTATTCTGAATTTCTTAGGAGCCTGGGGGTGATTTCTGGATCAGCTTACCTATAAGTAGAATATGCATCCATTTTACAGATGAAGTAACAGTCATAGAGAAGTTAAATTAAACTACATTTGGAACCCTGATAGTTTTAATTCCAGAGTCTAAAAATCTTAACAACTATGTTATTAATACTCAATGCTGCAAAAATTTGACATATCAGCAAGCAAATTGAAGAGTTCCATAAGCTGTATGTATTGGAAATTGATTGTGTTTTTTATTGTCTAATAAAGCTGGGTTATTATATGACAAGCTGTCAATAGCAATTAAATAGCTAGAAAATTTATGTTCAGACTACCAATGACTTCCAGAACATCAGGATAGTAGAATAGAGCCAACAAGGGCTTGAAATCAATAGGTTTGTGTTTCAAATAGCTCTGCTACTCATTGGCTTTGCAACTTCTGGTACCCTCTCTGATACTCATTTTCTTAACCTGTAAGGGAAAATATTTTCCCAGTGTCCTTCCCTTTTTCCTTCCTTCCTTCTTTCTCTTCTCTTAAATGAGATAATAAGGTGAAAGTATTTTGTAAATGATCAAGGGCTATGTGAGAGTAAAAGTTGGTTATCATTCTATAATTTTATAATTCCAAATATCGTGTTTACTTAAAATTTGTTCTTGTTTCTGTCTCTATAAGAATCTGTAATGTTTGCAAGTTTGTATATGATACATTGGAAAGAAACTTCCATTTCCCTTTCTCCATATTCCATGGTATGAAGACCACTTGTGTCTTCTCTCCCACCACAATGATCGGAAAGTCTGATTAGCTGAACATTATCATTCGAATTCTCCTTCCTTTCCTTTGGGGATTGCCTTCCTGCAGAATGCAGGTGTTTTGGTTTGCTTTATTTCATGTGTAAGCTTAGAGGGGCTGGCACTGTCCTTGTAGGAAGAGGCCTGTGGTTGCCCAGTGTTGTCTGTCAATGGGTGTGCAGGTCTAATTCAACAGTGAGATAGATATCTGCAAGCCCACTTAGCTGGCAGATCTAAACCATTTTTTCCACTATTGGCTTCATCAGGGTCACTGCCTGTCCACCTGCCTCAGTCCTCTATCTTCCAATAAATTCTGAAACGTGGGTAAAGCAAAAGGATTATTAATGGACACTAAACCTACCCAAATGTATGGCATTGAGGTTACTTAGAATGGAGGAAGGCAGGTGTGTGTTCCTTTTCTTTGAATTCTGCCTATGCCACCTCAGGATCCACCTTCCTTTCTCAGAGCCCCCTCTTGCTCAACACTGTACTTACTTAATAGCGTAATTGCAGACCAAGTACACTGCCTGGTGCCAAGTGCTGCCCCAGACACTGATGCTGCCACAGGTGTGGATGGCACAGCCCAGCCGGTTGGAGGATGCCCACACCATCTGAGGAGAGATGCACACAGACGAGGGATGCTGAGAAGGATGCAATGGGGCCCAGGTTCCTTGGGGCTGGGAGGCTCCTGACTTGCTTCAGGGTGGGTGCATTGTGAGGTCTGCCTTTTCCAAGGTGAGGGGGTGGAAGCATATTGTACTACAATGTTTCTCAACCCCCGACCTCCCCCCCCCCCCCTTTTTTTTTTTTACTACAGCCATCAGGAAGAAGTAAATTTTATATTGTTACCATGTACCCACCCCCTCACACACATAATTGGAAAAAATGTACGAATCAATATCTAATCTTGTATGTGAAATATGCTAATATTTTCTGTACTGTTCTATTAGGTTTTTTTCTTTTTTCCCAATGACCACTGTTTGAAAATTGTTGTGCTGGAGTTTAAAATACAAACTTTGGAGTTCAATGGCCGTGGGTCAGAATCTCACTATCACTAGCTGAGTGACTTTGACCAAGTTACTTAACCACTCTGTGCCTCGGTTTCTAAGATGGAGGTAAGTATATTTCATGGTATGTCAGGAAGGGCATTTGGCTTTGGCCTTACATTTTCAAGAGGGTCTCGAATTTAGAATTTTGACATTAACTCCACATGAATCATAGAGAGACCAAGAGGACCGAAAGAAGATATTTGACATGCCATTAGAAGTCCCTGTTTTATTTCCTGCAATATTATATTGCATTGTATTTTTATGTGTGATAAATGTTAACATATTCAATATTAATACTCAAAATATACCATGATTTTTATAATCTTATTTAAGCCTTCCTTCCTTTCTTCTTCCTTCCTTCCTTCTTTACTTCCTTCCTTCCTTCTCTTCTTTCTTTCTTTCTTTCTTTCTTTCTTTCTTTCTTCCTTCCTTCCTTCCTTCCTTCCTTCCTTCCTTCCTTCCTTCCTTTCTTTCTTTCTTTCTTTCTTTCTTTCTTTCTTTCTTTCTTTCTTTCTTTCTTTCTTTCTTTCTTTCTTTCTTTCTTTCTTTCTTTCTTTCTTTCTTTGAGATAGGGAGCCTTAGAAAATACTAGATACTAGAAAATATTTGGACCTTTTGAATTCAAAAGCACCCTTGATCTCATCAGAGCATACATCTTCATTCTGAGGTCAAACAATCTGTTCAGCACACCTAAGACACTCAAAACCAAATCCAGTTCATCTCAATTCACCTTCCCAGAAACATGCTTATTATGTAAGAGGAAGTCCACAGGGGGCTCTGTTTTATTTTAGTTTCTGTTCTACCACATGCTTTTTCTTCTAAGGGACCAGGACTTGTTTTCCCATCAGTCCTTAGTGCTGACAAAGGGGTACCTGAGTGTAGTGGGAGCACACAGGGCCACTGCAGCGCCAGGGACATTGTGGGTTGCAATCCTTTGGGGCTGGAAACAAGTAATGCCGCTTCTCCTCAGACCAAGACTTCACGAGATCCACCACCGAGCGGTACCTGGGAGGAAGAGAAGATGGAAGACACAGGGAGTTGGAGGGAGTCACTCTGCCATCAACATGCTCATCACCTTGTTGAATGACAATGAAAGAAGGGCAGAGGGTCACTTACCGGCCAGAATGGATGGCAAGATTCTGGCCCACGTATCTCATCAGCTGTGAGGGCCCGTGGGCCCAGATGCACTGGGTGGCCCAGGCCTCAGCAGACCTGGCCAGCCGCTCGTCCCAGATCTGGGGAAAGAAAGGCATGCAGTTCCCCAGGGAACCACCACCATCATCACAACAGTGCCCAGACTTCACATTTTCCTGGTACCATGACTCCCCTGGTCGTAGGGACCCTGCAATAATCCACTTGACAGATTAGGAAACTGAGCTCAGAGAAGGCCCATGACTTCAAAGTCAACAGGAAATCCACATAGGAACTGACATGCACACCCAGGTTAGTCTGGTGCCCTTTCTCCTCACTGGACTTCGAGATTGGGGCTTTCTGTTGTGAGTGGGGCTCCAGGGTATTTATTGGCCCAGGTGTTCTCAGCAGTTAGAAGTGGCTGAGCCCAGGGTAATGGGAAGAGAACTAATTTTTTATTTCATATATTATGTTTTAAAAATGTATTTATTTTAACTTAAAAATACTTAATTCAAAAGATTATTTGGAATAAAAAAATCTGCACAAGCTTAACATGGAAGATGTGCAAATAAGGAAAAGTGGAAAGTCTCTCCCCTCTATTCTACCCTTATTCCTCCAGCCATTGTGCCCCCTAGAGGCAACTGTTGCTGTGAGTTCCCTTGTCTCCTTCCAGAAATATTCTAGATCTGTACAAGCAAATATGATTACATATATAATTATACCAGCTATTAATTATTAGACATACATATATGTCTTTCTTGACAAATGGCAGCATGCTACACATTCTATTCAGCATCTTATTCTTCTCTCTTAATAACTTGATTATTCCACATCCGTACGTAGAGAACACCCTCTCATCCATCATAACAGCTTCATCATTTTGCAATGTATGAATGTTCCAAGTTTTATAACCTGAAAAGTCATCACTTAAAAAAAAAAATACTAGTTCCTTTCCAGCTCTGACTTCCTGGGGTTCTCTGAGAAGTCATTTGTCCCTTCAGCAGATATTGCACAGTATTTCTAGGCACGGCGGATTCACAGTCTAGCAAGGAAATGAGATGTGAAACAATCATTACAGTCCTGGGGGGGGGGTGAGAATGTGAAACGGGCTGGGACTTGCTTGGGGCTGAGGCTCCTTGAGCAAGGATATTGTCCTGTGGGCAGAAGCCAGCTAGTGGAGAAGAAATGGGGGAAAGCAGACAAATGTTTCTTGCATTCTACAAAGAGGTAAACTGAGGGAAGGCAGAAAAGATGGAAGACATGAGGCGGGGGAAGGAAAATCGCTCTGCTACCAACCTGCTCGGTGACTTTGTTGAATGACTGAGTGAAGGAAGGGCAGTGGGTCACTCAGACCCACACTCACCAACCCTCCCTGTGTCCTTAGTGAGACATCTCTTTCTCTCTGCTCTATACTGCATGCCTAACTATGTAAATACCTGCTGAAGTGAGTGCTTTGCACACACAACTGGTGCTCAATAAATGTGTCATTTGCTTGAAAATTGAGGGCCTTTTATGTGCCAGTTGATGTGTTAATGAGTCAGTCAATGAACAAATAAATGTTCTCCCCCTCTAGCTGCCTGCCGTTTCTGCTTCTGTCTCCAACCCTCCCCACACGGTATCACTCACTACCTGTCATTATATTCTATATATATTTTGTTGATGTTTGTTTCTATCATCCTCACTAAAATGTAAGTTCCAGGAGGGAAGGGCATTTGTCCATTCTATTCTGGGTAGTGTCCAGGAGGCTCAGCATGGTGCCTAACTCCAAACAGGCACTAGTAAGTACTAATAAGTGCATCATCGAATTTGCAGGCTGTTGTGCAGCAAGTCGGGGGGGGGGGGGGGGGGGACTGGCAATCTCTTTCCCTAAAGAAATCTCGGGGTGGGCTGGAAGCTTATGTCTCCAGACTGGTTTGGGACAATGGTCCCAGAGGAGGGGCTGTAATAAAGAGAAAAGTTTCCTCCTTCACTCTGGGAAGCTGGGGTAAGAGCCACCAGCCCGGCTCTTTGAGAGCAGACATCCCAGCTTCCTCTCACCATCAGCTGCTGGTTTTCCTCAGCTAGAGACCCCCGGGTACCAGCCCCCACAGCTCCAAACTCTACCTTCATGGCTTGTTGAGGATGGTCTAGGATGTCCATCGTACCCCTGGGGCAAAGAGACAATAGCCCCCACCTTCTGCAGTTCCCCGGGGGGGGGGGGGGGGGGGGAGGCAAAATTCTTGGGCAGCATATTGTGTTGACTAAGACAATGGCCTTTTGCAGCAAGCACACTTGGGTTGAAATCCCAGCTGAATGACTTTGGGCAAATTAATTATCTGCATCTCAATTTCTTTATTTGGAAAATGAAGATGTCAGTTTCCACCTTTAAGGAAGAGTATCCTTAGGGTTACGTGAAGCGTCTAGCGCACAGTAGGTGCTCCATAAATAACAGTCCTCTGTTTCTGACTCCCCAGAGGCCCTGCGTTTTCAATCACCTTTGTGCCCTCATCCATCAAATGGGCAGACTAAATCCTGCCCTTTCCACATGGTCCAGATACCCAGATATTGGCTTGTGGGGCCAGGGTGGTGAATGGTCCAGCCCTTCCAAGACAGGCTGAGACGAGTGGTGCTTGCTGGAAGGGGGACGGGGGAGAGCATAGGGACTCACCATATACTCCATGTTGGCAGCTGGTGGGTGCACGCTGGCCCTGATGTGGTTGTGATAATCCAGCAAGGCACTCATGTCCCGGGCAGAGATGTGGCGCTTCCGCCGATAGTGGGGCACCCCCAGGCCACTCAGGGAGTGCACTGCTGTGCCCTTGGTCCAAGCCAGCTCTAGGGTGGCATTGGGCATCAAGGTGTGCACTGCCTGGCCTGCCCAGAAGAACAGGACTGCCAGGCCCACAGTGCTGGGCGGCGGGGGCATGGCTGGCTGAAGGGGCCACACGTCTGCCTTGTGCAGTCAGAGCTGGCTGCCTGGAGGGGGTGGGTATAAGGGCACCAAACCCTGAGTGTTCTCCAGCATTGCCATCCCAGAGGATGCTAACCCTGGGAACTTGGTAAAGACCTGCTGACTTAGCTCTGGCCCAACACCCTGTCCTTCCCACCCCAGCAGACTGAGTGGATTGGGCAATAGGAAGAAATGCCCGGACAGTAGCTAACCTGGATCAGGACTTGGGGTGAGATGGTGCCACCACTTCAAAGCCAGGGCTCCATCCCACCAGCCCAGAAGAAAGATCTCTCCCTCCCCCCAATCCTAGCTGCCTTCTTCACCCATCCTGCTTAAGGCAGGCTCCTTCAAAGCCCTCCGAGGGGCAGGGTCCACCTTCCCCAAAGCTTAGTGAGGGCTCTCTTGTCTCTGAGCTGCTGCACTTTCAGCAGTGAGGGCAAGGCACAGAAAGAAGCAGATGTGGAGAATGAAAGAGGCAGAGAGAAAGAAAAACAAGAAACAGAAAAATGAGCAAGACCAAAAAGGATACAGAGAAACTGAATGAAAGATATAGAAAGGTAGAAAGGTACAAGACAGAATGAGAGATAACGATAAGAGGAAAAAGAAAGGACGTGGGGGTGGGGTGGAAATTGGGGGAGAAAGAAAGAGAGAAAGGGAAAAAAGAACAGAGAAGAGGGGGAGAGAAATAGACTTGAGAAGAGAACTAGAGAGAGGCGTGCAAGAGACCATGCAGCAGGAGCTCATACCCAGGACAGGCAGCCCAGGTGAGAGGCAGGAGGCGTCCGAAGAGGAGGCAGGGGACTGCTGCAGACACCCTGGCCCGCCTGGCAGCACAGCGACTTTAAAGGTCCCCGCTGAGCTGATGGCATCTGACGCGCCCGGTCCCACAGCCCCCTCCCCTTCCAGCCAGGCCAGACTTGAGTAGGAGGCTCCGCCCACTGCCCATTTGCTGGCTTTCCTCTCCAGCCTCTGCTGTTCCCACTTCCATCTGGAGTGTGCAGGGCTGGGGCTAGGCTGCTGGTCAGGGTAGGGATGTGGCAATGGCAGGGATTCCAGGAGGAAATATCAACCCCCTTGGGAGATCCAGAGGCTGCTCTCTGCCTTCTAGATCCCAACATATTAAGGCCACCCTGCATCCAGTGTATTTTCTGACTGTTTTCCCTACATAGCCCACTGGCCTCAGAGCAGGCTGCTAACATGGCTTGTCTGATGAGCACCTACTATGCACCAGGCCCGGGCTGAGTGCTTCATATACAAGCTCAGCCAACTCTCAGAAGCATACATGACAGCTCTCCATTTTACAGATAGAGAAACCAAGTCCCATAGAGGAGAAGGAACAAAAGTCAAGCCAGCCTATTTGCCACAAGGCAAGGATTCAAGTCCAAGTCTGACAGCAGGGCCCTGTGTGTATGTAAAAAGGACGCCATCTTTTGTATAGAAGTATTCACTGAAATGCTGCTCAGAGCATCCTCATTAGTTAAACATTCAAATCCCTAACTTGGTGTGCTTGGGCAGGTTACTCAACCATTTTGTGTCTCAGCTGTCAAAATGGGACCTACCTAGAGCACTGTTGCAAGGACTAGACAAGTTAACATCTGTGGAGCACTCGGACAGGTCCTGGAACACACAGTGCGTATGCGTGTGCGTGTACGTGTGTGTCTGCGTGTGCGTGTGTGTGTTCAAAAGCTCCTTTGCTGTTGTCCTTCTGAGTTAAGAAAGTTTAATTTCCTCCTCTCTGATTAATTGTATTCTCCATGAATAATACACAATACTTTTGTTATGAGAGGGGGATAGACTTACAAGAAAGATGTTACATAAAAAAAAAAAAATTTGAAGTATTTGAGTCTTCAGCCTCCTCCTCCCCCTTGACCTCTGAGAAGCCCCAGGCAGCACCAGGTGGTGATGCAGGGCTGGAAGCTGCGACTGAACTACCCAAGTAGGGTCCTCCGCAGGCACACGGGATTCTCACTCTAGGCAGCCACCCAGCTCTAGCCTCCATGGCCCAGACAGTGCCTGCTGCCACACACCTTCCTTCTGGAGCAGCTTCCCCCAGCCCAGGCTGAGTGCTGGGGAAGGTGGGGCAGGCAGAGCAGTGAGCGATGGGAGCTGCCAACACTGACCTCTGCAGAGAGAAAGAAAATCAAGAAACAGAAAGGAAATGAGCAAGACCACCCCAGAAGGAGAAGAGAGACTGGCTCCAATCTAGCCCCATCTGTGGGGATATTCAATATGCTGGGTATCCCAGGGCAAATCCCTATCCTATTCTGGGCCTCAGATGCCCCACTGGAGAAACTGGACTAGGGCTCTCCTGCTTACAGCAGCTGGGATGAGTGGTACACCAGGGGGAGCTCCGCAGCCCACGGGAGGAGGACACAGCCTGGGAGCTTAGACCCCAGGAGTGTCAACAATTGTGCCCACTCTCTCAGGATGCTTACCATGAACTTCTCCCATGTGGCCAGCACCTGCATTGGTTCAGAGCATCATATCCATCTCTCACAGCTAAGTTTGAGGTAGTAACCCCACCCATGGTACAGATGAGGATACTGAGGCACACAGAGCCTCAGTGACTTGCGATAGGGCCTAGAGCTTGTTTGGGTGGTAACTGGGGTTCTGTCAGTGACTATTGTCCCACTTTTATAGAATGCACAGGCATTCACTGTGCACATATCACACAAGCACATCCTCCTCCCATACATCAGACAGTCCATTCCACCAGCCCCTGAGATCCCTTCTAGTGTGCACCCCTTCCACTGTGCACCCACCCTTTCCACATTTAATCATATCTGACACATGTAAGCTGTATGTGTTTGCCCCTATCTCAGTGCCCAGCACTGTTTTAATCACTTCTGTGGATAAGCTTATTTAATCTTCAGAGCATCCCTATCCAGACAGTACTATTGTCATTATATCCATTTGTATATACATGAGGAAACTGAGGCACATAGAGGTGAGTCATTTATCTGAGATCACACATCCAGTAGGTAGCTGAGGTGGGATAGGCACTTGGGCAGGCCAGTTACACTGTCTCTTCACAGAGACAGACATGGAAGAAGGTACAACCCTGCAGTTCCGTCATGTGTACAAAGTTGCCATCTCTTGTCCTGCATGTTCACACATCCACAGAAACCCAGAAATCACACTGGAGGCAAACATACAGGGACACCCCTGGCTGCTCCACCAGGTGGAACGTTCTCTGTGTCCTCCTTGACTAAGGCAGGTTTCCAGGGGTTAACAATGTTAGAAGGTGGAGGCAGGAAATTATCAGGGGCAACCCAGATGAATGTCCTGGCTGGACACTACCTTTGGTTCATACTTTCTCACTACCATTAGTTCTTCTTTCTACAGAGGAGAAAGTAGAAACTCATAGAGATTAAGGAACTCATCCAAGTTCACACAGCTAATCCCAGTGGAAACTGGGTCCCAACACTAGGTCTCTCTGATCCTTACCTTGCAACAGTTGCTCCTGAGAAGACTGTGAAACAGGAGCCTGGTGCTTGAGAGAGGACACTGAGAAAGCTGGAAGGGCCTTAGGAATCTTCTCAGTCACTTCCTCATTTGCCAGTTGAGAAAGGTGGTTCAGACACAGGCAAACCAAACCTGCTGTATTCACCAGACCTTGCTCCTTCAGATTACCACTTGTTCCAATCGATGGCACATACACATTCTGAGCAGCACTTCAAAATGTACGAAGAGGTGGAAAGTTGGGTCTCTGAATGGTCTGCCTCAAAACAAGAAAAGTTCTATGGTATGGTATCCACAGGTTACCTGAAAGATGGGGGAAATGTGTAGTTAGTGAAGAACATTACTTTGAATAAAGCACTTTTGATGTTTCTCTTGAAATTATCATGTTTTTTTTTATTACAAAATATGCACTATTAACTGGTAAATGATCTATCCACATTATTAACCAGCATCTGCATTATTAACTAGTAAGTGGTTTTAGAAGCTCATAATAACACCTTCCTGATCCCACCATATGCAGAACAGTGTCTTCTTTCTGAAGCAATTTGGCCTTGCAGTCAATGTCGATGGTTGACCTGGATCAACCTGTGATTTTGTGCATTTGGAATTCTCAAAATAAATCCACTTTTCATCACCAGTTACAATTCAATGCAAAAAAGACATTTTTTTTGTGTGCTGTTGAAGCAACATTTTACTGATGATTTTTCAGTATTCCATTTGTCTTTCATTCAGTTGATCTGGCACCCATTTTCCTTCCTTTAAAATCTTTCCCATTGCTTGTAAATGATAGGAAATTGTTTGCTGAGAAATGTTTAATCTTTCTGCAAGTTGTTTTTGAGTTTGACATGCATCCTCATCCAATAATGCTTGCAATTGTTGGTCTTAAATTTTTTGGTTGAACTGGACATTTTTTGTCTTTCACATAGAAATAATCACTTTTGTTTTTATTTATTTATTTCTTGTGAGTGTGTGCGTGTGCTTCTTTTTTGAAATAATCACTTTTAAAACATTTAAACCAGTGTTCACAATTATCTTGAGAGGGAACATGTTCAACATAAGCTTCCTGAATTATACAGTAACTTTTAGCAGCACTTTTCTTCAAAATAATGAATTAAAACTTCCTGCAAATGCTCTTTTTTTTTGGCATGAAATTTGACACTTTTAAGTGTAAAAATATCTTCAGCAAGTTTGACATATGAAGTTTTGAAGCTTGCTGTCAATACAACAAAATAGCATACATATCAAATCGCTTAAATATCAACAAATGTGTAACTCCATCTATTGAAAAAAGTCCGCATTATTAACTGATACTCCTAGTAAAAGTCTGGCTATTATGGGATGGGACATTTGAAAGGCTTCTATTTCGTGATCTGGCTGGTGGTTGCCAGTGGTTCACCTTATTAGGTTCTACATTTATTTTATGTGACTTTCTGTATTTGTGTTTTATTTTACCATAAAAAGAATTTTAAAAAAAATAACAGCTGTAGTGATTTATATGGTGACACCTTCCCTCTGTTTACCGCCTGAACCACGTACCTTCTTTTTAAAGGTTGAGGACATGGAGGTTCAAAGAGGGAGGCAACTTGCCCACAGTCACACAGCAAATAAGTCTGGGAGCCAGAACTCAACCCTTGTGGCTTGGGGTGTCTCCGCAGCACAGCAGTGTTTGGGCTGCCGGTGCTAGTTCCTGACCCAGCAAACAGGACTGGAGAGGTCCCACAACAGGTCCAGAGAAACTGGCTCCTCAGAATATAAAATATACCCAGAAGCACCTCTGATGCCCAGGTCTACCAGCTGCTTTCTCTCTACCCAATTAACAGCCACTTCTTTGGCAGGGTACCTAGTGGATGGTTGGATGGTCTAGGGGGCAAGGACCAGAGCTGTGGAGTCAGAGAGGATCCTGGCTCTCAGTGAACCAGGGCAAGTCATAAGCCCTCTCTCAGCCTCTGTCTCCTCATCTGTAAATTGGGAATGATAAATAGGTGCTACCTTATTTGGCCATTATGAGAAATTCAGTGAGACATTGGAAGTATTAGCACACAAAGCAAAGTTTCATATTTTGATCTGGGTGATGTACAAATATAAAAATACATCTTGTACACTTTAGATTTTGGCACTTAAAATTAATTTATACCTCAATAAAAAAGTTTAAAATATATATTTTAAAAATCTTTAAAAGAGCTCTTTCAACATATATAAAATTGAAATCCTATATAAAAGAGAAAACACACACCAACAGAATTATCCCATTCCTGTCTCCCCAACAAATTCTTTCTACCCATATACATAATTACCCTTCCCCAATACACCCACTAAAACCCCTTACACTGTGCACACACATCCAAAGACCCTGATACTGACACAAATAGAAGTCACTGTCCAGTAAAACAGACACACCTGCACTCCCACTCAACCCCACAGCACATCCCTCTTCAAATATAAATGCTTTCCCATTCTGGGTACATGGGAACACACCCTACATGTAAACACACAAATGGAGACACAGGTAAACCAAACCCATAGACTGAACTGACTCCATGGGCAGATTTGTGAGTTAGACAGACGTGGGTCTTGGCCCTACCACTTTCTCACCCTGGGACCTTGGGGCAAGCTATGTAATTTCTCTGAGCCTCAGTTACCTCATCTGTAAAGTAGGCTTAATAAGATCTCTCATGCAATGAAATAAAATTAAAAAGGAAGATTGTGAGCAAAACAGCTCTCGGAGGCTGAAGGAGTT